GCCTTCTTCTTCCCTTTATCACCAGAAGTCACATATGGTTTCCCTCTATACTGAACTTTCTCTTTCTTCTCACTCAGCTGCTTGTAGTGAGTAAATCGAGCTCGACTATTCTCATCCTAAATTCTGCTCTTGTCCATCATAAAAGCAACGGCTAAGTCTTCCCTAGACTGAACATGGTTACTTTGTAGCTTCATATACCATATCAAGGATGCCCCACATAAACTTTCTTGAAAGCAGTGAATCATCAGTTTGTCGTTGTCAATATAAGCAGTCATCTTTTGACAAAACATCATCAATTGTATCTTGGACAACTAATACCCTTGTACACTTCAAAGACAGGCATCTTGAACTTTGGAGGAATAACCACTCCTGGAACTAGACATAGGTTATGAGCCTTGGGACCATGTGTATCAGCCCTTTTCACCACCTTTGATTGTTTTCGAGATCGCGAAATCCTTTCTCAATTGCTATAATTCTAGGATCGTCCACCTTCATCTTAGTATGGACATTCTTAAGATCTGATGCACACCGCAGAAATTGGGAATCTCCTTCATTAACTTGAACAAACAGGTCATCTTGCAGACTGAGGTTGCATAGGAACATCCACTTGTTGAACATTCTCATCAGAAGGAAAATCGAATATCAGATTAGTCACCACTCTGAAACCAGTCATGGGATCCATATCTTTTGTTCTCTTTACTATCCTTCAGTTAGTACTTCAAGCTTGGTCAGATGGTCAAGATGTCAGCTGATAAGACAAAGACAGAAAGTCGGATGAGCTACAACGGAGAAGAGACACATGCATATGCAAAATGCTACATGAAAAATGCAGGATGCAGATGCAAGAATTTCATAGAATTCCAATATTTATGAACATTGTGGTGGAAAGAATACGTTTATTATTTTAATAATGGATTACAAATAAATATTCCTTAAATAGTCTCAAATAAATAGCTAAATAAAAGCTAATAAAGTCCTAAGGAAGCTTCATATTCTGCTGCTTGATCTGCTCTTTCAGTTGGGTCTTCTCGAGGATGAGCTTGTCCACAATCAACTTCCAAGGGGTAGATTGAGGGTTGGAGGAAAATAAATCCTCCTGGGCTTTTTTTCTTCTTGTAAGAAAGTGTTTCATCATTCTTCGATTGAAGTTGCTTCTGCAGCTCAACATTTTCTTTGGCAACCACCTGATACTTGTTCTTCCATGCTTCTGACTCATGTTATGCTTTTCTCAAAGAGATCTTCAACTCTTCAGCTTCAAACATAAAAACCAGAACAGGTTCTCTTCTTGGAGGTATAGGATCTTGACAAGGGTAAGGCATCTTCAGCTTGATTGCTCTTTCTCTTACCCAGTGAAGATATGGTTCCAAAGACACACGATTAGGTTTTCCTAGACTTTTCTTTCCCTTCTTATTCAAGTGTCGCCAAGCAGCCGCGATCTTCTCTTGAAGTTTCTTGTCATCCTTGAAGAAAATACTTTCCACATGAACACTCTTAGGTGGCTCCTTCAATGGATATCCTAACTGTCGACGATCTAGAACATTATTGTAATTGATTCCTCCATTAAAGCCAAGTAAGGGTATGTCAGCAAAGTCTCCACAACTATCAATGACTAAGATCCCATCATACACACAGCTATACCAATCAATGTCCGAGTGTATTAGCGCCATAATCCTTGGTGACCAAAGTCCTTTGTCAAGATCCGAAAAAGAAGCAGACTTGGGCAAGTGCAAAATAAACCACTTGTATAATAAGGGCACACAGCAGGTGGTCATCCCTCCACTATGAAAGTTTTGGAGATGCACAGAATGGTAAATGTTACCCAATAAAGTTGGTACCAGATTATTCTTCATGAAGATTTTGATGGTGTTAAGGTCGACGAATCCTTCAAAACTTGGGAAGAGTAATAATCCATAAATAAGTAAGGCGAAAATTGCCTCAAATGTAACCATGCTCATATGATCAGCGCAATATTGAGCTTTCTTGATTAAGAAGTCTGTAGGCAACCCAAAAGTCCCACCTTTGGTAATCATGTTGTCCTTGATATCGGATGACTTTAGATAGATGGCTCTAACTATGTCTTGTTTTTTAGGGTTTCCCTCCAAGAAAGGGAAATGAGACTCATCCAGAATAGGTAAACTAACCAAATAAGAGTACTCTTTTAAAATAGGCAAGAGCTGATAGTCTGGGAAGGTAAAACAATGATAATCCGAATCATAGAACTATAACAAAGTAGAAAGAAGTTCCTCGTCCACTCGGAGTCTCAACAAAGACAACAGCTTCCCATACTTGTTCTTGAATCTTTCTTGGTCTTCAATCAAAGTTCCTAACTTCATTAGGTCATTTAACTTAAGACCCTTAAAGGTATATTTCAAAGTATGTCTCCTTTTGTAATCCATAGTGTCCTACAATGTTCATAAACAAATGTGAATCCCATGAAGTCCAATGTAATATGATGCTTTATGGATGCAACAAACACAGACAAGCACACAGAGATGCACAAAGATAAACAAACAGGAAACCTAGGTTTGCAACGAACATGGAGCAAAAGGTATACCCATCCCCAAAGGTGTGGACTAAAGGTTTATTGTACCTACAAAATAAGGTTCTAAAAAAGGTGCCCAAAATCATTAATCCATCTTTCGAATATTATCAATTTCCCGAATACTCGGTGGTTAATAATATTCTCAAGAGAACCTCTTTTGAGTGTAGCATCACGTAGCAACTATTTTGGGAATACTCCCTCATAGTCATCACACTACGTCCTAATAAAGGCCAAAGTGGGGTTAAAGGTGACTATGGTCCCCAATATCACAGGCTCCAATCGAAAGTAATGAATGTTTTCACGAGTACATGATCAACAATACCATTTTCGAGAGGACCTCAATTGAGTGATGATTCTCAAATCAGCTTGGTCGGGATTCAAACTCCCTATAAGCCTCATCGAATATATCACCTTCCTATAATAATTACACTCAAGTCCGGGTGTAAGACTTATCTCACCATACAAACATACCAACCCAAAAGCATAAATAACCAAATATAAGCAGATAAGCAGATATATATATACAACAATAAGTAAGCAAAAATAAAACAAGTTAAGGAAACCCACAAAGAGATCCCCAGTGAAGTCTCCATTTCTGTCGCGGTGAGAATTGGATGTCAAGCTATTGGATTAACTTGAATCTTAATTCATTGGTCCACCACCGGTCTTTAATTTGTCCGAAGGAAGGGAAAAAGATCGAATTACCCATAATGCAATGCAAATACAAAAGCTAGAGAGTTTAGGTTCGGGGGTTGGTTAAACTTAGGGAAGGTGCTAGCATCCTACGTTTCTGTAGTACTCTACAAGAACCTCTTGTTTTAATGTGTTTATTACTATGGGTTATCTGCTTAAGGATGAAAGACCTAATGGTTTAATTCTAATATACTCGCCAAGATGTCGCATCTTGTGCCTACATATCCTGACAGGAATGGAATCAGAGTATTTATAGTTCCCCAAAAGGGTTTGAGGAATGATTGACTGTTGGTCAAAGTTCCAAAGGGATAAGGTTTGTTGATTGATTGATTTTGTGAGAAAAAATGAGTCGTCATCTTAAGGGAGAACACTCGACTTAACCACCACAACTTGTAGGAGATGCTCTTTGCATCATCTTGAGAGAAGGGTTTAGAAACTCAGATTCGTCGACGAGTATGCCACTATCTCTCTCAAGTAGAAAAGATCTTATATCTCAATTGTATTGTTATGGGGCAGGAAATTTATTTCTCGACTGTCAAGATGACTAACGTCTTATTCTCTAATAGGAGAATATGTTTGATTGAGTTGTATAGTTATTTATCTAAGTTGTAAAAGAAAATGTCCTCCTTAGGGGTAGGATCTAAACTTAAGTCGATCAACTTGAAAAGGATCAAGGATCGAGTGGGGAAAATGATGCAAGATGAGATGCAATACGCACAAATATTAAGTCATGCATAGGTTCTTCCTTTGGACATTATGCGATGCGATAAAATAAATGACGATAAAATAAAAAACAACAGATAAATAAGTCCTTACAAACGAATAAAAGTGCTAAAAACAGACAAGCGGATGGAGCGGGGTTGCGAATATTAAAGTAAAGCGGTGCTCGAGGGATAGGAGGGGATTGATGCGCGTTGATTAAATTTTATGCGAGATTAATTTTAAGGAAAAGTTATATTAGTTTTATGTAAAATGAGGTTTATGAATTAATTGGTTTTTAGGTAGAAATAAATTTACATGAATAATGATCTATTAAATAAAAGGTTTTATTAAATAAGCAAGTTATTATAAAAAGGTTTTATTATGAATAAAAAAGGTGTTGTTATTATCACTAGTGAATAAATACTATTTAAATGATTATGAAATAGGTTTTTATGAACAAATTATTATGAATTAATTTTAATAAGAAGTTATTAATGTTGGTGGAATAAAATAAATTAAAACAAATGAGATAAATGACTTTTTAGAAGTAAATTAATTAAATTAGAAAAGAAAATGGTTATTTAAATAATTGCTAATTAGTTAGAAATATAATTTAATTAAAAAAGGGTTATTAGTTGTCTTAATAAAAATAAAAGGTTGATTAATAAAATGATTAATTAATTAAATAGAGGTTAGGTTAATGATTAAATTAAATTAAGTGCAGATTAAAGGATGGTTAATGAAGGGTTAATGGTTGATTAACAATTTTAAAGGGGTTAATTAAGGGGCGAAAATGATTACGTGTGGTAGGCAAAAAGAGGCCTACCGCGGGGGTGCGACGTGGCGTTGTGGATGGGGATGAATGGCAGGTGATGAGGGTGCACGATAGTTAGTGTGTGTCCATGCGAATACAACATACAAAATAACAAAGAAAACCCTAGAAATTCTACTCCCAAATCCCTTCTGCCGCCCTCCTCTCAATCTCACTCTCTCTGCTTTCATCTTCTTCACTGTTCTTCTTCTCCTTTCCCTTCTCTTCTCCGCGATCTTCCGCCTCCACTTATTATTTCTTCTCAGCTTCTCTCCTCTTTTCACGCTTCGTCTTCTTCGCCTCGACCTCCTCCGTTATTTCTTCTTTGTTGTGAATCTCCCTTTTATTTCTTTCTCCCACGATCTCTCTTCTTTTCCTACATAAAAAAAACCTGGAGTAAAATGTTAGCAAATCAAAACTCACGGTTTTAAAAATGGGTCTTTTTGCAGGTTTTCGAAAGTGGTAGTTGATGGCGGCTTCGGAAACGGCAAAATGAGGGTGATCAAGGGCAAAGCGACAAAGGAAGGGTTTCCGGCGTGATGGTTTTGAAGGAGGCTTGTGGGTTATAGCGATAAGGGTTTCGCAGTGATAGATGGCTATTCGCGGCGGAGCTTCCAAAATGATAAGTTCCTTGTTTTTACGATTTTTAGGTTTTTGAACGGATTTCTGGTGTTGCTGAATGTTGTGTATTTCTGTCAATTCGTATCTGTTGTTCCCCAATCTGTAGAGTGATTTATAGGCTGTTAAAGCGAGACTAGATAGTAAATCCTTTCCTTTCTTGGTTTGAAAGTGTCGGAAACATGTTGGAAACGCTCTTGAATTACTTTCCATTTTCAGAGAAACATGCCTCTGTCCTGTTTTGGAATGTAGTCTGACATCGTGTGTTGTTGAAAATGCAGCTGGCTTTCAAATAGTTATGTGAGATTTATTTGGCGAACCCGACATACTTGCTCTTGATAATCAGGGCACATAAGCTTGGATTTCGAAGACCAAAGGTAGTCACTTTGTTTTTAATCTTGATTTCTTTACATTTCGAGAAGCTTACCAATGGTTTCAAAATTTGCAGTGGCATCACTTCGAAGACTCATTCTCCACTTGTCTCCTTTTGCAGAATCAACCATAGACAGTGAGGTGCGGTCACACTGCTAGATGTTGTCGTCACGGTAAGTCCGTTAAAAGAGTGTCTATTTGCTCAAACCTGTCCGCACATAACTTATTCCTCCTAGTTAATTCCTTATAAATTACTCTTTTCATAATGCAGCTTTAGTGGTTTTGGCAAAGTTGCTCCTATGAACACACAAGATCAAGGTTGGTGCAGAGATATCAAGCGCTGCGATAATCGTGGATATGGTGTAGACACCGGTAGCAGCATGAATAATTACTTGACTCTGTTTTGGGTTTAGGGGATTAATGAAGATTTGCGATTTGTGTATGATTTACTTCTCGATGATGCAGATTATTTCCGGTTGCATAGGGACATAAGTTTGATGGTTATATTTTTGCAGGAAGTGTACCGTCCAGCCCATGTTGTGCCCAACTCTGGTGTGAGTAGATGTAATGAAGCACCCCTTGTTATGCTTCATAGCTTGTATCCCTTCTTGTATTTTGAACAAAAAGTCCTCTTGTAACATTCTTGAATTAAGGTTGATAGATAATATTATTCTAAATTTCATATCTGGCCGTGTGATGGATTTTGTATACCTTTCGGCGTATTTCAAATGTTTCGACTTAATTTGAACTCATAAACTCTTACAATTTAATCTGATGTGTATTGGGTGCTCGTTTTTGAATTTTAGATTGATGCCTGGAGTCTTTTTGAAAGTGGAAAAAACGTTATGACATGTAGTGGACTGCTCATTAGAGTCTATCTTAGTATACGCCCTTGGAAAGTAATCCCAATTTAATTTTCATGAATAAACATTAGTCTTGAAATCAATTGATGCACTTTTGAATGTTGGTGTCTAAAGTTCCCATAATTATGCTTGAATTACAACTCTTCTTATAAATTTGAACATTTGTACGTCTTAAATAGAACTCAAGGTGATTGAAAATGGTGCAAGCCGTTAAATCCAAGTTATTCTCGTAGACCTTCTTATGTTTGACTTGATCTTGGAAGCTCGGTGAATACAGGGCTATTTGCTATCAGGAAAACTTGAATTTGAGTTGGATTTCGACATTTAATTAGAATTTTATTGAACTTTAGCTTGTAAGATGAACTTTCTGAGGCCTTTATCTGAAACTCCTGAGCTGTGCATTTTTAGATGAGCTCCAATACAACTTAAAGTTTAAACCTTGCCTTGACAATATATTACCCAAACCTCATTCATGATTCTTATCCAATACTTGTCGTATTAAGTTATCAACAAAATCGAACACTTTCTCATAAATGATGACTCATCCTTATGAAATCAGAAAAATGATGATGTAACCTGGTATGTGAACTATGCTCTGAAGAAACCTTGAAGATAAAGGCACAACCTATGATGCTACTCCCAATGAAAGTTATACTAGGCCTCAAATAGTTATGCTAAAAACCAATAACAGGCTCTCCATAATTCAACAGCCACACCTTGAAGTACTCGACTGTAAGGATCCACACTTGACATTGCTGCACCTGTACAAGTTGGTTAGCCGTAATAAACACACACACAAAAGTAAAAGATAGCAAGGAAGAAAATGCACATGGAGGTGAGATCTTAAGGTCAAAAATTAGGGTGCGACACTCCCTATTTATAGATTTTGTTTGCTTGCTTCCTAAGCAAAGCCTAAAATACCTAATTCTTCTAACACTACAAAATTAGGTTTAAGAAAAAATCCATGTCAAGGCTAACTCCCCGACACTTCAACAACTATGTGTTTCAACATACACACTAGGCTATTCAATAAATTTCTTGCCCCTTTCGAGCAACCTGCTTCGACACAAGAAATTAAAATTCAACACACCACATAATTCATTGTGTCTAATTTTTCTACATTCATCATAGACCTTAGTTTCTTAAACACTTTGACTTGCACTCTTTTCGTCATGATGTCTGCCATCTGATTCTCATACTGCAGTGTTCCAAGTTCAACTTCGTTTCTGCCACCTGTTTTTGAAAATAATGGAACCTCATTTCGATGTGTTTGCTCCGTTCATATTGATAACAGGTCATGTTGTCAATCTTCATGGTAATTGCTCCATGATTCTTTCGTATAATCTCTTCGACCAAATTCACCATCCACGTTTCTTGACATGCACAAAGAGAAGCAATTATGTATTCTGCTCCACATGACGATAATGCCACTACTGGTTCTTTTCTAGAACTCCAAGAAACCAGTGCACCACCTAGCACAAACACGTAACCATCTGTGGATTTTCTATCCTCAACATCACTACTGATCGCGACTTTCTGAGTCTAACGGTACTAACTACAAGTGCATAGTTTATCGCGTAGTAATAAAGATATCGATCCCACAGGGACTGGTAATCAAGCTAGTGATATCGGTTGTCACTATTTTTAGCTAAGGCGGAAGATGGGTTTTTTTTTATAGGAAAATAGATGCAAAGTTATGGAATATAAAGGAAGTAAAAGTTATTGGTTTAAGTAATAGTGGTATAGGGATATCGGTATGTAATGCCTTAATTATAGGGGATTCGACAGGTCACCGGTGCTTTTTAGTTTTTGCAAATACTTTTCAGGGGAAAATACTCGTTTAAAGACCTTTGCCTCATGCTGGTTGTTAACTCAGGTCATACTTTTAAGGCAGAATGTACACTCTTACTGTCTCATTCGGGGTTTAAATTATTCTTTGAAAATAAATAAATTTCGATTAATTTTAAAGCGCTATCGTTGTGTTTAAAATTAATGCCTAGGTTTTACTATCCAGTTCAAACCCCACGCTCTCACGTGCCGGTTCGAACCTTAATAAATTTCCCACATTCGTGGCAAAACCATTGTAAATAGCTCCTCACTTTTGTGACAAAGGTTACTTAGAAAATTATATTTAAAACTACGGCCAGAAAATTGTTTGTAAAAAGGTAAGGCGCACCAGATATTATTAAATCCAGTCCTACTAATTTGATTACATACCGATAAAATTGGTTTAGCTAAACATGATAACTAATGCAAACATAAATAAAAATAAACATTAAAATGGTATAACATGCATACTGAAAGAAATAAAATAAGTATTCAATTAATAAGAACCTACAAGTAGTACTGATATTGAATTCTCGAGTAGTCCTCCACAATGTCGGCAGGATTCTACTATGGTGAAATAAAAGTGCAGAATGAAATACAATACTCTGAACTAAAGGGAAAAGGAAAACAAAAAATGGAAAATGGTTTCAACATAATTTTTGGCAGCAATTTGGTACGTAGAATGAAGCTCTCGTTTCAGGTCCAACTGCCATCCTTTTATATTCGAGGTTGCATGAGGAAATGTCGGAGGAAAATAAGTTGAGGGAGAGAATTCTCATGGAGGGCATACTGGAGCATGCCTAAATTCTCTCCCTTTCATGGCCACGTTTCTGTTGTTAACATTATTACTGATAATAGGACCGTGACGGTCGTGGCCATGTTGTGGTGGTCTGTGACGACAGTCACACCTCCAAAATTTGCATTCTGGCTTCTTCTGGCTTTTTCCTCCTCTTTTGTTCCTTTCTTTCGCGCTTTTTTTATGTCTTGCTCATTTTTAGCATGAGAATGAAATACCTGTGAAACACTTAGAAAACTTGCGGAATAATCAGGATACGGGTTGAAATCATACAGTTAATCAATGGAAAATATGACAATTATAAGGTACATTTTCGCGTTATCAAACTCCCCTACACTTGAATCCTTGCTTGTCCTCAAGCAAATAGTTGGTAAGAAAACCAATGCAAGTGCATGGCACACTTTTTTGAGTTTTCAAAGTGTTTTTAAGGCGTTTGGTTAGGACGTCGGAGATTCAATTAAAACAACACGTATACAGTAGTGACACAAAACAGTAAGCGTGCTCAAAGGCCTCCCTCTTATACAAGCCAGTTCTAATCATTCCACTATAGCTCAGCATGAAGTTTCTCGTATCAAATTTCACTCGGTTTTGTTCTAGCGCAATCATATTAAGCCCTTTGCCTTTACACACACGTAGTGGAATAGCCGGTTAGTGACTTGATCCTTTTTAGTTTGGGGTCTGGTACACGAGTGTGGTACCCCTCTATATATCCTACTTGTAAGTTGTGAGGGATCTAATCGTAATTCTCCATACCAAGTCCATAACCAAGGACCTATGAACCAACTGACAACGAATTTCTTACTTTTTCTTTTTCTTTTTCTTTTTTCTTTTTCTTTTTCTTTTTCTGAATAGCAGAAGAAAATATTGCTTCATAGTTAGGCATCAAACACTTATTTTCATTGGCTTTCCATGTGGTTTGTGTTTAAGACGGTGCTGACTGCTGGTATAAACTACTAGGGGTTACGTTTGGGGTGAAACTCAAGGCTTCGGTATAATGGATATTGAAACTGAAATCGCATAAGCAGGAGGTCTAAGGTGTCAGAACGATATCACTCTTGTTAGAATTTTTTTTCTCAAGACTTCCTAAATTGACCTTTATCTCGGTGTGTCAAGCTATGCATCGATTAGAAGTAAAAAAATTTTGTATAACTGAATAAAGTGGGGGAATCTTATGACGGGGAAAAAGTACTTATAAAAGCTCGTTTTATTGAATTAAAATGCCAAAAGGGAAATACAAGGAAATGAAAAGGGGAAATAATGTACCTCTCCCACACTATATCGGACATTGTCCTCAATGTTGCGATATATATGCGGCAGGGAAGTAACACAATAAAAATGCGATAGTACTAAATGGA